ATCCCCCACCCCCTGACCTCCGACACCCCTCCAAACAGGATTGCATTCCTAAACCACAACTACCCAAATATCTTCTTTCCCTGAATCCCCTTTATGGCACTCTTCACGTTTCCCTTTGTCTTCTTGTCCAAATACCCAAGGGCCAGCCTCCATTGGTTTGCAAATTCTTCATTATTTCCTCCTCTGCTGCTCTTTGTCAGCTTGGCCACTTGGATTTAATCTGCTAAATTATCTCTCCAATCTTCACTCTTTTCCCCCTTTCCAAGTTTTGGCTATTGTTAGTCTTGCCACAACAAAGCAATATTCACAAACTTCTTTATCTCCTGCACTGATACGCATTCTAAATAATCCTAATAGGCACATTTCCGGGTTTTTCTTTACCTTTTTATTAATCATAAATCCCCTGCCCCTGCCACGCGTTGCTGTGGCCCACATGGTGGTTATGTGTGGGAGGTTTGACCCAATTCCATTGTTGGTGGGGTTCAGAATGCTCTTTGATTGTAGGTGAACTATAAATCCCAGCAACTACAACTCCCAAATGTCAAGGATCACAAACTCCACTGGTGTTCACATTTGTGCATATTGATGCCAAGTTAGTTCCAGATCCATCATTGTTTGAGTCTACAGTGCTCTCTGGATGGAGATGAACTACAACTCCAAAACCAAAAGACACTGCCCATCAAACTCTTCCAGTGTTTTCTGTTGGTCATGGGAGAACTGTTTGCCAAGTTTGGCCCAATTCCATCATTGGTGGAGTTCAGAATGCTCTTTGATTGTAGGTGAACTAGAAATCCCAGCAACTACAACTCCCAAATGTCAAGATTCTATTTTCCCCAAACTCCACCAGTGTTCACATTTGGGCATATTGAGTATTCATGTAGAGTTTGGTCCAGATCCATCATTGTTTGAGTCCACAGTGATCTCTGGATGTAGGTGAACTACAACTCCAAAACCAAAGGACACTACCCACCAAACCCTTCCAGTATTTTCTGTTGGTCATGGGAGAACTGTGTGCCAAGTTTGGTTCAATTCCATCGTTGGTGGGGTTCAGAATGCTCTTTGATTGTAGGTGAACTATAAATCCCAGCAACTACAACTCCCAAATGTCAAGATTCTATTTTCCCCAAACTCCACCAGTGTTCACATTTGGGCATATTGAGTATTCGTGTAGAGTTTGGTCCAGATCCCTCATTGTTTGAGTCCACAGTGATCTCTGGATGTAGGTGAACTACAACTCCAAAACCAAAGGACACTGCTCACCAAACCCTTCCAGTATTTTCTGTTGGTCATGGGAGAACTGTGTGCCAAGTTTGGCCCAATTCCATCGTTGGGGTTCAGAATGCTCTTTGATTGTAGGTGAACTATAAATCCCAGCAACTACAACTCCCAAATGTCAAGATTCTATTTTCCCCAAACTCCACCAGTGTTCACATTTGGGCATATGGAGTATTCATGTAGAGTTTGGTCCAGATCCATCCTTGTTTTTGAGTCCACAGTGATCTCTGGATGTAGGTGAACTACAACTCCAAAACCAAAGGACACTGCCCAGCAAACCCTTCCAGTATTTTCTGTTGGTCATGGGAGAACTGTGTGCCAAGTTTGGCCCAATTCCATCGTTGGGGTTCAGAATGCTCTTTGATTGTAGGTGAACTATAAATCCCAGCAACTACAACTCCCAAATGTCAAGATTCTATTTTCCCCAAACTCCACCAGTGTTCACATTTGGGCATATGGAGTATTCATGTAGAGTTTGGTCCAGATCCATCCTTGTTTTTGAGTCCACAGTGATCTCTGGATGTAGGTGAACTACAACTCCAAAACCAAAGGACACTGCCCAGCAAACCCTTCCAGTATTTTCTGTTGGTCATGGGAGACCTGTGTGCCAAGTTTGGCCCAATTCTATCGTGTGGGGTTCAGAATGCTCTGTGATTGTAGGTGAACTATAAATCCCAGCAACTACAACCCCCAAATGTCCAGATTCTATTTTCCCCAAACTCCACCAGTGTTCACATTTGGGCATATTGAGTATTCGTGTAGAGTTTGGTCCAGATCCATCATTGTTTGAGTCCACAGTGATCTCTGGATGTAGGTGAACTACAACTCCAAAACCAAAGGACACTGCCCACCAAACCCTTCCAGTATTTTCTGTTGGTCATGGGAGAACGGTGTGCCAAGTTTGGCTCAATTCCATCGTTGGTGGAGTTCAGAATGCTCTTTGATTGTAGGTGAACTATAAATCCCAGCAACTACAACTCCCAAATGACAAAATTAATTTTTTTTGAATGAAGGACATACATTGAGTTGTTAGGTGTCTTGCTAAAAGGCTGGCTCTTATTATATATCTATTGAATTCTTTATTCACCCTGTCCTTTTCATAGAGTTCCATAGAGTTAGAAGAGACTTCCTGGGCCATCCAGTCTAACCCCTTTCTGCCAAGAAGCAGGAACATTGCATTCAAATCACCCCTGACAGATGGCCGTCCAGCCTCTGCTTAAAAGCTTCCAAAGAAGGAGCCTCCACCACGCTCCGGGGCAGAGAGTTCCACTGCTGAACGCCTCTCACATTCAGGAAGTTCTTCCTCATGCTTAGATGTAATCTCCTTTCTTGTAGTTTGAAGCCATTGTTCCGTGTCGTAATCTCCATGGAAGCAGAAAACAAGCTTGCTCCCTGTGGCTTCCTCTCACATATGTATACATGGCTATCATATCCCCTCTCAGCCTTCTCTTCTTCAGGCTAAACATGCCCAGATCATTAAGCCGCTCCTCATAGGGCTTGTTCTCCAGATTCCACAATTCTCCACAATTCAAGAGAGATATTGACAAGCTGGAATGTGTCCAGAGGAGGGCAGCTAAAATAATCAATCTGGAGAACAAGCCGCTCCTCATAGGGCTTGTTCTCCAGATTGATTATTTTAGCTGCCCTCCTCTGGACACATTCCAGCTTGTCAATCTCTCTCTTGAATTGTGGTGCCCAGAATTGGAGACAATATTCCAGGTGTGGTCTTACCAAGGCAGAATGGAGCATGGGGAGCATGACGTCCCTGGATCTAGGCACTATGCTCCTCTTGATGCAGGCCAACATCCCATTGGCTTTTTTGCCGCCACATCACATTCCTGGCTCATGTTGAACTTGTTGTCCACGAGGACTCCAAGATCTTTTTCACACGTCCTGCTCTCGAGCCAGGCATCATAGTCCCCCATTTTGTATCTTTGCATTTCGTTTTTCCTGCCTAAGTGGAGTCCCTTGCATTTGTTCCTGTTGAACTTCATTTTGTTAGTTTTGGCCCATCATCTCTCTAATCTGTCAAGATTGTTTTGAATCCTGCTCCTGTCTTTCATCCCATAGATAGACATGCTATCCATATCTTAGATTATGTCCTTCTAAATCCAGCAATCCCTTCTTTTCCAGTCTGATCCAATCCTTTCGCCAACTAAAGTTGGCTGCTTCATCATAGTATCGGGGGTCTGGCAGAGCCAAGCCCCCTCTGTCTTTCCCATCAATAAGGTTCCTATAAGCAATTCTGGCTCTTTTGCCTTTCTAAATAAAATGGACCAAATCTCCCTTCCATCTTGCTTGATGGAGTCTCGGTCAGACCCACTTGTCCACACTGAGGCTTCCATTCTGGAGCCTTCTCAGATATCCGAGTGGAGGTTTTAGACACAAATCATTAAGGCTTGCCCTCCGCCCCCCCTCCCCGCCCCCCACCTCCAAAGAAACCCTTTTATCTCCCAAGTGTTAGAAGAACAACTGTGGTTATCGCAACCTGCACTCTTCCTTGTTCCTCCACATCACGGCCCGGAAATTTCAATTGGTACCACGGGCGGCAGCCAGGTTACTAACCGGTGCTTCTTACAGGGAGCGGTCAACCCTCCTGTTCAAGGAGCTCCACTGGCTGCCGTTCATTTTCCAGTCCCAATTCAAGGTGCAGGTTCTGACCTACAAAGCCCTGAACAGTTTGGGACCCGCCTACCTGTGTGACCGCATTTCTGTGTACGAAACCACACGATCTCTTCGATCATCTGGAGAGGCCCTGCTCACGCTCCCACCTCCATCACAGGCGCGATTGGTGGGGACGAGAGAGAGGGCCTTCTCGGTGGTGGCCCCTCGACTCTGGAATTCACTCCCTAAGGACATCATAGAATCAAAGAGTTGGAAGAGACCTCCTGGGCCATCCAGTCCAACCCCATTCTGCCAAGAAGCAGGAATATTGCATTGAAATCACCCCTGACAGATGGCCATCCAGCCTCTGTTTAAATGCTTCCAAAGAAGGAGCCTCCACCACACTCTGGGGCAGAGAGTTCCACTGCTGAACGCCTCTCACAGTCAGGAAGTTCTTCCTCATGTTCAGTTGGAACCTCCTCTCTTGTAGTTTGAAGCCATGGCTCCATTGCGTCCTACTCTCCAGGGAAGCAGAAAACAAGCTTGCTCCCTCCTCCTCCCTTTGGCTTCCTCTCACCTATTTATACATGGCTATCATATCTCCTCTCAGCCTTCTCTTCTTCAGGCTAAACATGCCCAGTTCCTTAAGCCGCTCCTCATAGGGCTGACATGCCCCAACGCTGGCAGTCTTTAGGCAGAGCCTGAAAACGTGGTTGTTCCAGTGTGCCTTCCCAGAGTAAGGAAAACTCTTAGCAATATGTCCTCAAATGCACTTTACTATTGATTTAGGATTGTCTCTGCGCCCTCCTCTTTCTTTGAAAACCCTATCCTAGTTTACCTGACCTTGTTTCATGTCCAGCATTTGAAATTTTCATTATTACATTTGGCCCGGCCATAGGTTTTTAAATGCGGAATGTTGTTATTGTTATTGTTCATTGCTTATTGTGTATTTTTTGTTTTTGAGTTTTATTTTAACTGTTTGTATTGATTATTTGTTATCGCTTTTGTTTATTGATGTGCTGTGGGCTTGGCCTCATGTAAGCCGCACCGAGTCCCTTGGGGAGATCTTAGCGGGGTACAAATAAATTATTATTATTATTATTATTATTATTATTATTATTATTGGAAAGCTTCACGCTGCCATTTTAGCAGCCCAGAAACCCCACACCTTGGTTGTCTTCTGTGTGTGCCCTTGAGACCCTTGCTATTCCCATGAAGGGAAAAGGGGGAGAAACTTTCTGGTTTTCACCCTTTCAATCTTTTATTTCTTCTTTCTTCACCAGGGAAAGGAACATTCCACGGAGCCACATTCGTCACGATGAGAAACAATTCAACATCTTGTAGATATTGAATAATTTAGAATTGAAAAGTGCAGTAAAGAAACCAGACATAAAGGAAGAGGAAATGCTCCGAAGTGCACTCACACTTCAGAAAAGTAAAGTGTCTATCTTGCATTTTAAAGTACCAACATGGAGAGCCAATCATATCAATGTACTGAATGTGGAAAAAGTTTTAGTCAGCAGAATCTTCTGCAGTTACATGAAAGAACTCACACTGGAGAGAAACCCTACACATGCCTGGAATGTGGGAAGAGCTTCACGCAGCGTGGAAATCTACGTAAACATCAAAGTGTTCACACTGGGGAGAAACCCTATAAATGCCTGGAGTGTGGAAAGAGTTTCACTCAGAGTGGACATCTACGTTCACATCAAAGAGTTCATACTGGGGAGAGACCCTATGAATGCCCAGAGTGTGGAAAGAGTTTCACACGGAGTGATCATCTACGTTCACATCAAAGAGTTCACACTGGGGAGAAACCCTATGAATGCCCAGAGTGTGGAAAGAGTTTCATTTGGAGTGGAGAGCTACATTCACATAAGAGAATCCACACTGGGGAGAACCCCTATACATGCCCAGAGTGTGGAAGGAGTTTCACTCGGAGTGGAGAGCTACGTTCACATCAAAGAGTTCACACTGGGGAGAAACCGTATGAGTGCCCGGAGTGTGGAAAGAGTTTCACTCGGAGTGGAGAGCTACATTCACATAAGAGAATCCACACTGGGGAGAAACCATATACATGCCCAGAGTGTGGAAAGAGTTTCACTCGGAGTGGAGAGTTACATTCACATAAGAGAATCCACACTGGGGAGAAACCATATACATGCCCGGAGTGTGGAAAGAGTTTCACTTGGAGTGGAGAGCTACGTTCACATCAAAGAGTTCACACTGGGGAGAAACCCTATGAATGCCTGGAGTGTGGAAATAGTTTCACTCAGAGTGGACATCTACGTTCACATCTAAGAGTTCACACTGGGGAGAAACCCTATGAATGCCTGGAGTGTGGAAAGAGTTTCACTTCGAGTGGAAGTCTACGGTCACATCAAAGTGTTCACACTGGGGAGAAACCCTATAAATGCCTGGAGTGTGGAAAGAGTTTCACTCAGAGTGGTAATCTACGTTCACATAAGAGAATCCACACTGGGGAGAAACCCTATGCATGCCTGGAGTGTGGAAAGAGTTTCACTTGGAATGGAGAGCTACGTTCACATCAAAGCGTTCACACTGGGGAGAAACCCTATGAATGCCCAGAGTGCGGAAAGAGTTTCACTTCGAGTGGAAGTCTACGGTCGCATCAAAGTGTTCACACTGGGGAGAAACCCTATAAATGCCTGGAGTGTGGAAAGAGTTTCACTCGAAGTGGAAGTCTACGTTCACATCAAACAGTTCACACTGGGGAGAAACCCTATACATGCCCAGAGTGTGGAAAGAGTTTCACTCAGAGTGGGGCCCTACGTTCACATCAGAGAACCCACACTGGGGGATACCCTATAAATGCCTGGAGTGTGGAAAGAGTTTCACTCAGAGTGGAGAGCTACGTTCACATCAAAGAGTTCACAGTGGGGAGAAACCGTATGAATGCCTGGAGTGTGGAAAGAGTTTCACTCGGAGTGGAGACACAAGCCAGTCAGGGTGGTCCCAGTGGTGATCGGCACACTCTGTGCAGTGCCTAAAGACCTTGGCCTGCACTTAAACACAATAGGTTCTGACAAAATTACCATCTGCCAGCTGCAAAAGGCCACCTTACTGTGATCTGCATGCATTATTCGCCAATGCATCACACAGTGCTAGACACTTGGGAAGTGTCCGATGTGTGATCCAATACAACAGCCAGCAGAGTGATCTTGTCTCCTGTGGACTCATCTTGTTGTGTTTCAAATTATTATTATTATTATTATTATTATTTTACTCTGCTTCCATCTCCTGGGAGGGACGTGGGACGGCTTACATAGGGACCAAGCCTGATCAACATAGTTAAAATGTAACACAACATCATAACAAAATATAAAACAACCATTGAACTAACAACCAATGGACCTGAAATAGTGACCGGTTTTTGGCACAGAGGGCGAATTAGTGCAGTCAATTGTAAAGGAAGGGCTGATAGAAAAGGTGCCCAAGTCGAAGGGCAAAATTAGGGATAGAGGGCAATGTAAAACAGAACATTATATCTTTGGGTAGAGAATGGTAGTAAAGTGCAAGGACGAAATTTTGGATCATACCTGGGGCCAAAATTGTCTGGCACATGTTCTCTTCCAGTGACGAACGGCTAGAGGAAAGATGTGTCTTTGGCTACTCTTGTATATAGTTTTGTATTTTTTAGTAAGAGCAATAAATCTAAGTGCCGCTCCGGGCTTTGGAGCTGACTGAAGGCAGCACACTTCATGTGTTTACTTTTGTGCTTCTTAGCAGATGCTCTGAGGTCACTGAATTGTCACAACGTTCACCCATCCAATGTTCTGTATTTTCCAACGCAATCTGCTTCCCGCCTGGATCCGCAGCTGTTTCACTACATTGTGATGTTTTGATGCTAAATTTGTAAATACAGTAAATACTACATAACCTTACCATGAATTGAACTGCTTTTTCTGTTGTTTGTTGTAAAACAGGATGTTTTGATGCTTAATTTTTAAAACCATAGCGAAATTTGATGTTTAATAGGCGTTTCTTTAATCCCTCTTGATTATCCAACATTTTCGCTTATCCAACATCCGTTTATGTTGGATAAGCGAGACTCTACTGTAGTTGTTATGTGTATCATTCAGATGACTCCCTATATTGCACATTGTAGTGAATCTTACCTGAAAGGAAGCCTGGATAACAGTACGGCAAACCTCCATTTTGGGAGTGGAAGCCAGGGAAGCAGCCATCTTGAGTGAGGATAGTTAGAAGAGGGGAGGAGTTTGGAGTCTGCAAGGATTGGCCAGAGCAGTTGGGAGACGCCATGTCTTAGGAGGGAAAAAGAATTCAGCTTCTGTGGGAGGTGAGAACTGGGAGCTGGTGTGTGAAGAAGGGTTTTTGAAACTGGGTTTTCAGGGAGAGAGTGTCTGTGTTAGACAGTGCTGTGAGCTGACAGGAAAAAGGTCAGGCAGCAATCTGATTTCTCGTGAGAGTTAGCACAAGAGATTGTCTCTCCAGGCTGGGTTAGTTAGCAGGAAGAACTCTGGGGTAGAGTTAGTAAATAACCCAGGGGACTACCTAGGATAGGTTAGTCAGAACTCATGACTATTTCTCTGAAGCAGAGTGAGGGTTTTTTGTTGCCAACAGTGAGATCTGTTTGGTTAGTTCTGTGTGTAACTAAGTGAAGAGAACTATTCAAGTAACCATCAAGCTGAAGTACTTTTGTAACAAGTCACGCTTTTTGTATCTCAGAAGTAGTTAGTTGTCTGTTTTATAAATAAATCTTTTTCTGTTTAACTTTCAAAAAGGTCTCCATTGTACATCTTTCCATCAACATCTTCTCCCACAGTGAAGGCATTGGTTACCAGGTGGAAGGCAGTCCCGGCCAGGGTTGGCTTGGCGTGCCTTCCCTTTGGCACATTTCTCTATTTCACCCTCCATTCGTGCCTCTTCAAATTCTACAGCACTGCTGGTCACAGCTGACCTCCAGCTAGAACACTTAAGAGCCAGGGCTTCCCAGTTCTTGGTGTCTATGATAGTTTTTCAGGTTGGCTATGCTGTGTTGGAAAATGAAGAAAATACCTGTCTAAAAAACCTGCTGATGTCTGGCATCTTTCTGATGTCTTACAAGGACTCGAAGCAGCTATTTAAACAGAAAAAACACAGGAACATTTGTCAGGAGTTTGGATCATGTGATTTTAATGTTTATATTAGTCAGTTTTAATTTTTATGTCCTCATGTCTAAATGTTTTATCTTACGTTCAATTGACCTAGTGATTTTAATGCATATATGTGTTGTTCAGATTCAAATTGAGAGGGAGAGCCAATACTCCAGAGGACAGGAGCAGGATTCAAAACGATCTTGACAGATTAGAGAGATGAATGGCCAAAACTAACAAAATGAAGTTCAGCAGTGACAAATGCAAGAGACTCCACTTAGGCAGAAAAAATGAAATGCAAAGATACAGAAGGGGGGACGATAATGCCTGGCTCGAGGGCAGTACGTGTGAAAAAGATCTTGGGAGTCCTCGTGGACAACAAGTTAAACATGAGCCAACAATGTGATGTGGCGGCAAAAAAAGCCAATGGGATTTTGGCCTGCATCAAAATGAGCATAGTGTCTAGATCTAGGGAAGTCCTGCTCCCCATCCTCTATTCTGCTTTGGTTAGACCACTTTACCTGGAATATTGTGTCCAATTCTGGGCACCACAATTGAAGAGAGATATTGACAAGCTGGAATGTGTCCAGAGGAGGGCGACTAAAACGATCAAGGGTCTGGAGAACAAGCCCTATGAGGAGCGGCTTAAGGAGCTGGGCATGTTTAGCCTGAAGAAGAGAAGGCTGAGAGGAGATATGATAGCCATGTATAAATATGTGAGAGGAAGCCACAGGGAGGAGGAGGGAGCAAGCTTGTTTTCTGCTTCCCTGGAGACTAGGACGCAGAGGAACAATGGCTTCAAACTAAAAGAAAGGAGATTCATAGAATCAAAGAGTTGGAAGAGACGTCATGGGACATCCAGTCCAACCCCATTCTGCCAAGAAGCAGGAATATTGCATTCAAATCATCCCTGACAGATGGCCATCCAGCCTGTTTAAAAGCTTCCAAAGAAGGAGCCTCCACCACACTCCGGGGCAGAGAGTTCCACTGCTGAACGGCTCTCACAGTCAGGAAGTTCTTCCTCATATTCAGATGGAATCTCCTCTCTTGTAGTTTGAAGCCATGGCTCCATTGCGTCCTAGTCTCCAGTGAAGCAGAAAACAAGCTTGCTCCCTCCTCCGTGTGGCTTCCTCTCACATATTTATTCATGGCTATCATATCCCCTCTCAGCCTTCTCTTCTTCAGATTCCATCCAAATATGAGGAAGAACTTCCTGTAAGAGCCGTTCAGCAGTGGAACTCTCTGCCCCGGAGTGTGGTGGAGGCCCCTTCTTTGGAAGCTTTGAAACAGAGGATGGATGGCCATCTGCCAGGGGTGATTTGAAAGGAGATTTCATCTTAACATGAGGCTGGAAGGCCATCTGCCAGGGGTGATTTGAAATGAGATTCCATAGGAACATAAGGAAGAACTTCCTGACTCTGAGAGCCGTTCAGCAGTGGAACTCTCTGCCCTGAAGTGTGGTGGAGGCTCCTTCTTTGGAGGCTTTTAAAGAGAGGCTGGATGGCCATCTGCCAGGGGTGATTTGAAAGGAGATTCCATCTGAACATGAGGCTGGATGGCCATCTGCCAGGGGTGATTTGAAAGGAGATTGCATCTGAACATGAGGAAGAACTTCCTGACTGTGAGAGCCGTTCAGCAGTGGAACTCTCTGCCCTGAAGTGTGGTGGAGGCTCCTTCTTTGGAGGCTTTTAAACAGAGGCTGGATGGCCATCTGCCAGGGGTGATTTGAAAGGAGATTCCATCTAAACATGAGGCTGGATGGCCATCTGCCAGGGGTGATTTTAAAGGAGATTCCACCTGAACATGAGGAAGAACTTCCTGACTGTGAGAGCCGTTCAGCAGTGGAACTCTCTGCCCCGGAGTGTGGTGGAGGTTCCTTCTTTGAAAGCTTTTAAACAGAGGCTGGATGGCCATCTGCCAGGGGTGATTTGAATTCAATATTCCTGCTTCTTGGCAGAATGGGGTTGGACTGGATGGCCCAGGAGGTCTCTTCCAACTCTTTGATTCTATGAATGTTGGTGGACAGGAAAAGAGATTTAAAGATGGGCTCAAAGCCAACCTTAAAAAGTCTGGCATAGACACCGAGAACTGGGAAGCCCTGGCCCTTGAGCGCTCCAGCTGGAGTTCAGCTGTGACCAGCAGTGCTGCAGAATTTGAAGAGGCACGAATGGAGGACGAAAGAGAGAAACGTGCCAAGAGAAGGAAGGCACAACAAGCCAACCCCGACCGGGACAGCCTTCCACCTGGAAACCGATGCCCTCACTGTGGGAGAAGATGCAGGTCAAGAATAGGGCTCCACAGTCACTTACGGACCCACCGCCAGGAGAGTCTCTAACCTTACAGTGTGTGGCCTTCTAGATCAGTTATTTATTTCTCGTGTCAGGGCAGCCAGTCAATTATATTACATTTCTAACAGAACAAACAAACAGACAAAATACAAAATTTGTGAGTTTGGTAGTTGATTAAATGTCCTTTGACCAGTATCTGGCCACTTGGAGTGCTTCTGGTGTTGCTGGAAGAAGGTCCTCCATGGTGCATGTGGCAGGGCTCAGGTTGCATTGCAGCAGGTGGTCAGTGGTTTGCTCTTCTCCACACTCATATGTCGTGGATTCCACTTTGTGGCCCCATTTCTTCAGGTTGGCTCCGCATCTCATAGTGCCAGAGTGCAGTCTGGTCAGCACCTTCTAAGTCGCCCAGTCTTTTGTGTGCCCAGGGGGAGTCTCTCATTTGGTATCAGCCATGGCTTGAGGTTCTGGGTTTGAGCCTGCCACTTTTGGACTCTCGCTTGCTGAGGTGTTCCAGCGAGTGTCTCTGTAGATCTTAGAAAACTATGTCTTGATTTAAGTCGTTGACGTGCTGGCTGATACCCAAACAGGGGATGAGCTGGAGATGTCTCTGCCTTGGTCCTTTCACTATTGGCTGCTACTTCCCGGCGGATGTCAGGTGGTGCAATACCGGCTAAGCAGTGTAATTTCTCCAGTGGTGTAGGGCGCAGACACCCTGTGATAATGCGGCATGTCTCCTTAAGAGCCACATCCACTGTTCGCCTTCCAAGTCGCCCAGTCTTCTGTGTGCCCAGGGGGGAGTCTCTCATCTGATATCACCCACAGATTGAGGTACTGGGTTTGAGCCTGCCACTTTTGAACTCTCGCTTGCTGAGGTGTTCCAGCATGTGTCTCTGTAGATCTAAGAAAGCTATGTCTTGATTTAAGTCGTTGACGTGCTGGCTGATACCCAAACAGGGGATGAGCTGAAGATGTCTGTGCCTTGGTCCTTTCACTATTGGCTTCTACATCCCGGCGGATGTCAGGTGGTGCAATACCGGCTAAGTAGTGTAATTTCTCCAGTGGTAAGTAATTGGCCACTGGGTTCTCCCCCTGCCTTTTCTCAAGCCGGCTTCTTGTGGGATTCGCAACAGGAGCAAAACAACTCTGAGGAAGTAGGTTCTTGTGGGTTTTTTTCGGGCTATAGAGCCATGTTCTAGAGGCATTTCTCCTGACGTTTCGCCTGCATCTATGGCAAGCATCCTCAGAGGTAGTGAGGTCTGTTGGAATTAGGACAATGGGTTTATATATCTGTGGAATGGCTGGGGTGGGGCGAGGAGCTCTTCCCTGCTGCAGCTAGGTGTGAATGTTTAGCTGATCACCTTCATTAGCATTTGAAGGCCTGCCTGAGCCTGGGAAAATCTGTTGCTGGGAGGTGTTAATCTGTGCCTGGTTTTTTCCTCTGAGGAAGCAGCAGCCAGGAAGAGATGGGGATGTTTGGGGTGAGGGGGAGGTCACCACCACAGCAGGAAGTGCGTCACGGGGTGGCGGCCTCAGGAAGGGTGAGAAACACAGGATGTTGGGAGGCGGGGCTTAGAGGGGGCGTGGCCTCCTTTGGGGGCGGGGCCAGCGCTGCATCCGGGCATTCGCACGCCGGCGCTTTTGTGAGGCCGACTTCCTTCCGGATCATAGAGCGGCGGGAAGAGAGGAAGGAAGGAGGTAAGGAAGGGGGCCTTCCTGGGATCCCGGGAGGGAAGAGGGGGGAGGCACAGGCACCCACATACAGACACACACACCATGCCTCCTTCCCTCACAGAGAAATCTAGAGTTGGAAGAGGCCTGGTGAGTCCACCAGGCCTCTTCCAACTCTAGGATTCTATGATCTAAGGACATCCTGGCTGGGAGAGAGAGCTGTTCAGCAGGGGAACTCTCTGCCGCAGGGGGAGTGTGGTGGAGGCTCCTTCTTTGGAGGCTCTGAAGCAGAGGCTGCGTGGCCATCTGTTGGGGGTGTTTTGAATGTGACTTTCCTACTTCTTGGCAGAAGGGGGTTGGACTGGGTTATGACCCACTAGGTCTCTTCAAACTCTAGGATTCTGTAAGGAAGGAAAGAAGGATGGAGCTCCTCAAGCGAGAGCTGTTCAGCAGTGGAACTCTCTGCCCCATGAGGCCTCTTCCAACTCTAGGATTCTATGATCTAAGGAAGAACTTCCTGACTGTGAGAGCCGTTCAGCAGTGGAACTCTCTGCTCTGGAGTGTGGTGGAGGCTCCTTCTTTGGAAGCTTTTAAACAGAGGCTGGATGGCCATCTGTCAGGGGTGATTTGAATGCAATATTCCTGCTTCTTGGCAGAATGGGGTTGGACTGGAAGGCCCATGAGGTCTCAATAATTGATTTAAAACATAAGGCCTCTTCCAACTCTAGGATTCTATGATCTAAGGACTTCCTGACTGGGAGAGCTGTTCAGCAGTGGAACTCTCTGCCGCAGAGGGAGTGTAGTGGAGGCTCCTTCTTTGGAAGCTTTGAAACAGAGGCTGGATGGCCATCGGTCGGGGGTGCTTTGAATGCAATTTTCCTACTTCTTGGCAGAAGGGGGTTGGACTGGATGGCCAATGAGGTCTCTTCCAACTCTAGGATTCTATGATCTAAGGACATCCTGACTGGGAGAGGTGTTCAGCAGTGGAACTCTGTGCTCCTTGTGGAGTGTGGTGGAGGCTCCTTCTTTGGAGGCTTTTGGCCATCTGTTGGGGGTGCTCTGAATGCAATTTCCCTGCTTCTTGGCAGAAGGGGGTTGGACTGGATGAAGGCCCACCAGGCCTCTTCCAATTCTAGGATTCTGATTTAATGACTTCCTGTCTGGGAGAGCTGTTCAGCAGTGGAACTCTCTGCCGCAGAGGGAGTGTAGTGGAGGCTCCTTCTTTGGAAGCTTTGTAGCAGAGGCTGGATGGCCATCGGTGGGGGTGCTCTGAATGCAATTTCCCTGCTTCTTGGCAGAAGGGGGTTGGACTGGATGAAGGCCCACCAGGCCTCTTCCAATTCTAGGATTCTGATTTAATGACTTCCTGTCTGGGAGAGCTGTTCAGCAGTGGAACTCTCTGCCGCAGAGGGAGTGTAGTGGAGGCTCCTTCTTTGGAAGCTTTGTAGCAGAGGCTGGATGGCCATCGGTCGGGGGTGCTTTGAATGCAATTTCCCTGCTTCTTGGCAGAAGGGGGTTGGACTGGATGAAGGCCCACCAGGCCTCTTCCAATTCTAGGATTCTGATTTAATGACTTCCTGTGAACAGATCTCCCAGTCAGGAAGTCCTTAGGTCATAGAATCCTAGACTTGGAAGAGGCCTGGTGGACCTTCATCCTGTCCAACCCCCTTTGGCCAAGAAGCAGGGAAATCACATTCAAAGCACCCCTGACAGATAGCCATCCAGCCTCTGCTTCAAAGCCTCCAAAGAAGGAGCCTCCACCACACTCCACAAGGGGCAGAGAGTTCCACTGCTGAACAGCTCCCTCTCCCAGTCAGGAAGTCCTTAGATCAGGGATCCTCAAACTAAGGCCCGGGGGCCGGAAAATCGCATTCAGCGCACTCACAACATACGGCCATCCAGGTTCTGTTTAGAAGACTCCAAAGAAGGAACCTCTACCACACTCCACAAGGGGCAGAGAGTTCCACTATTAAACAGCTCTCGCTTGAGGAGCCCCTTCCTTCCTTATAGAACCCTAGAGTCCTAGAGTTGGAAGAGACCTCATGGATCAACATCCAGTCCAACCCCATTCTGCCAAGAAGTAGGAAAATTGCATTCAAAGCACCTCCGACAGATGGCCATCCAGCCTCTGCTTCAAAGCCTCCATAGAAGGAGTCTCCACCACACCCCACAAGGGGCAGAGAGTTCCACTGCTTAACAGCTCTCCCAGTCAGGAAGTCTTTAGATCATAGAATCCTAAAGCTGGAAGAGACCTGGTAGGCCATCATCCAGTCCAGCCCCATTCTGCCAAGAAGCAGGAATATTGCATTCAAAGCACCCCTGACAGATGGCCATCCAACCTCTGCTTCAAAGTCTCCAAAGTGGGAGCCTCCACCACACTCCATAAGGGACAGAGAGTTTCACTACTGAACAGCTCTCACTTGAGGAGAGCTCTCTCCTTCCTTCCTTCCTTCCTTCCTTCCTTCCTTCCTTCCTTCCTTCCTTCCTTCCTTCCTTCCTTCCCCTTCCTTCCCCTTCCTTCCTTCCTTCCTTCCTTCCTTCCTTCCTTCCTTCCTTCCTTCCTTCCTTCCTTCCTTATAGAATCCTAGAGTTGGAAAAGACATGGTGGGCCATCATCCAGTCCAACCCCACTCAGCCAAGAAGCAGGAAAAGCACATTCAAATCACCTCTGACAGATGGCCACCTATCTAGCCTTTGCTTAAAAGCCTCCAAAGAAGGAGCCTCCACCACACTCTGAGGCAGAGTTCCACTTCTGAACAGCTCTTGCTTGAAGAGCTTCCTTCCTTCCTTCCTTCCTTCCTTCCTTCCTTCCTTCCTTCCTTCCTTCCTTCCTTCCTTCCTTCCTTCCTTCCTTCCTTCCTTCCTTCCTTCCTTATAGGACCCCAGAATCCTAGAGTTGGAAGAGACCTGGTGGGCCATCATCCAGTCCAACCCCCTTCTGCCAAAAAGCAGGAAAATCGCATTCAAAGTACCCCCAACAGATGGCCATGCAGCCTCTGCTTCAAAGCCTCCAAAGAAGGAGCCTCCACCACACTCCATAAGGAACAGAGAGTTCCAATGTTGAACAGCTCTCGTTTGTGTGGAAGTGTGGACTTAGATAACCCAGTTGAAAGGCTCCTTCTTTGGAGGCTTTTAAACAGAGGCTGGATGGCCATCTGTCGGGGGTGTTTTTTGAATGCAATTTTCCTGCTTCTTGGCTGAATTGGGGTTGGACTGGATGGCTAACCAGGTCTCTTCTGACTCTAGGATTCTATGATTCTAAAGCAGACCTGGTGGGATGTTGTGCTTCTGGGCTATAGGGCTGTGTGGAAGGGCCCTGGGTTATCTGAGTCCGCACTGCCAGATATTCTAGTTCAAAACAGATTATTATTATTATTATTAACTTTATTTGTACGCCGCTAACATCTCCCGAAGGACTCAGTGTGGCTTTCAAAGGCCAAGGCCTCAAAACAACAGCATAAAAAATACAACGATAAGACTCATAAAGCAAAACAATAAACATTAAAGCCATAACAGTAAACATTAAACAATAACATCACGACACATTTAAAACTAAGGGCCGGGCCAGATGCAATGAATAAGATTAAAAGTGCTGGACATGACAGCTGAAATGTAAGGAATTTAGAGTAGGTGTGATGTGCAGACAATCTTAAATCTCTAGTAAAGTGCACTTGGGACATGATGCTGGGAGTTTCCTATTCTGGAAAGGCACACTGGAACAGCCAGGTCTTCAAGCTCTTCCTAAAGACTGCCAACGTTGGGGCTTGTCTGATGTCCTTGGGGAGAGAGTTCCAGAGTCAGGGGGCTACCACAGAGAAGGCCCTGTTCCTCGTCCCCACCAAACGCGCTTGCAATGCAGGTGGAATCGTGAGCAGGGCCTCTCCAGATGAACGGAGGGATCGTGTGGGTTCATATACGGAGATGCGGTCATATGTGGGATGTTATTCATGTTAGCGTGTAGCAGAGTATCGCAGAAGCTCAGAATAATGGACTCTGGAGTCTCCGGTAAAAGCAGGTTTTCAGCTTTACTTAAGCAGCTCAAAATAGACAACATACACCATCAGCAGACAGACGTGAAGAACAAAAAAACCGAAAGAGATAGGAACTAATACAAACTGCAGCTGGAAGGAAGTTTATCTCTGGCACTCCCTAATCTTTTACAGAGCAAGAACTCAGGGTCACATTCTCACAGCTTGTTACTTTGCTGTTTAACCCTTCTGTGTCAAACTACATCCTAGCAATACAATTCTATTACAATGTATTGTCGAAGGCTTTCATGGCTGGAATCACTGGATTGTTGTAGGTTTTTTCGGGCTATATGGCCATGGTCTAGAGGCATTCTCTCCTGACGTTTCCAACAGATCTCACTACCTCTGAGGATGCTTGCCATAGATGCAGGCGAAACGTCAGGAGACAATCCCTCTAGACCATGACCATATAGCCCAAAAAAACCTACAACAACCCAATTCTATTACAATCACAATCCTATCACATAAAATTACATTTAAACACACTTAATACATGAATTACACACTGACAATTCCGCAGTGTGGAAGGGGCCTGAGTCTCCTCAATGGGCCTTAATTTGTCTTTTAAAAATATATATTTTATTTTAGGACATACACATATATAAACACAACAGTTACAATTCCCACCACCACCACAAGGATTATTTCATTTCACATATTAATCCTTTTGGAGACAAGTCTTCTAGATTTACATACTGTATAAATTTGTATTCTTTTTAACTTATGGCCTGATCTCTAGACTTGTTCATAATGTAATTCTTGACTTGGTGCCATCTTTCTTCAACTTCTATTTTCATTACATTTTGAGTCATTTAATTTTACATCCATAATTTCAAATTCCATTTGGTCCACCATATACTGATACCATTTATTTCCTGTCCACTTTGATTTGTCTTTCCATCCCAATGCTATGACTGCTTGTGTGCACTCAGTTATTGCTTCCTTTATTATCACCATATCCTTTTCTCCCTCCTTGGAGAAGCACCTCTTAGGCCAGACCCTGCTTTCCTGCAGCCTGCCAACACATAGTTCCATAATGCCAAAACTTCAAAACACCGAAATTCTAAAACTTCCTTCCCTAAGAACAATGCTAAGGACCAGATCTCTGTTTTCCCTACAGCAGAACCTGACTCCCTTCACAAAATCGAAGAGCCAAAAGCACACTTCTTCCTCTTCCCTTGAGAAAGAAGCCCCAAAGTGACCAGACTGCTCCCGTGCAAATCTGCCACTCTCCGTAGGTACACTATCTCTCTCCTTCCTATGCCTTCCTATGGAGCAGAGCATGGCGGGTGAACCAGACTCCTCAGGTCGGTCACACTTTGAGCATTATTAGACTGAGTCTTTTATAGAAATATTCTGCTGATGAAGTCCCAAAATTGTAAATTAATGATAGACATTTTCCATCCTAGCTCCATCTCAGTTTCCTGGCCAGATGTTGATCATCTTGATTGGTGTTTTATTTATTTATTTATTTAAAACATTTATATTCCGCCCTTCTCACCCCGAAGGGGACTCAGGGCGGAGCACAGCATATTTATGCAAACATTCATGCTGGGACACAAATTCTTATATACATACATAAACATTAAAAACATTTATCAAAATACTAAAATATACCATTTAAAACCGTCCTAGTCATCCACGTCAAATATTATTATTATTATTATTATTATTATTAATAATAATAATCTTTATTTATACCCCACCACCATCTCCCCAATGGGGACTCGGAGCAGCTTACATGGGGCCAAGCCTGGACAACAGAATAAAACCAGAGCATAAACAATAAACAACAACATCAAATTACATCAAGGAAAAAAATATTAACACAGTCATAAAATAACATTCCAATAAGCACAATCACAATAACAATGGGCTGGCCACATGTACAAGATAAAAACGATTCTAAGACTCTAATGAGATAAAAATAGGAGCAAGTTATCTGCAGGGGAACTAGTAAAAACATACATAGCTGTGAAGCTAAACTTCCCATTTGGAGGGCGTGTATTCCAGTGGGAAGAGCATTGAGGGGTGCAATGGTATTATATTGTACACCTACTCACCAAAGCCGTAGCGGTAGAGCAGCGCCTTTGTGTTGACAAACACAAGGCTTGTGCTGACTTCCTTCTTAACATAAGGAATGTTGCAAACATTTCCTTTATCACTGTCCCGTTCTTATCAGGGTTTCTCATTAGCAAGTCCAGCAAGCAGGTAGTTAGTCATTGCAGGCCTTAATAAGGAGGAGTCTGAAAACGTGGTTATTCCCAGAATAAGAACCTCCTAGCAATCTGTCCTTAAATGCACTTTATTAATGACCTAGGATTGTTTTTGCATGCCCATCACTTCCCGAAAATCCACCCTAATCATATTTTACCTGCTATGTCAGCATATTTTAAATTTTTAATTATTACAGCCATAAGTTTTTAAACGTCGTCATGCTATTGTTAATGTTTATTGTCTATTTGCTGTTATGAGTTTTATCTACTGCTTGTATTATTGTTGTTTTTGCTTTGTTAATGCTGTGTTGTGGGTTCGGCCTCATGTAAGCCGCACCGAGTCCCTTGGGGAGATGGTAGCGGGGTACAAATAAAGTGTTATTATTATTATATTATTAATAACTAGCTGTACCCGCCACGCGTTGCTGTGGCCAACCTTCGCCCTATCTCCCCTTCTTTCCCTCCTTCCTTCACTCCCTGTTTCCTTCCTTCCTTCCCGTCTTTCCTTCTCTCCTTCCTTCCTTCTCTATCGCTTTCCTTCCTTCCCCTTTTTCTTTCTCTTCTGCTGTCTCTCTTTTCTTCCTTCTCTCTTTCCTTCTTCTTTCCCTCCCTCTTTCTCTACATTTTATCCCCTTCCTTCGCTCCCTCTTTCCTTCCTTCTTCCTTTTTCTCTTCTGCAGTCTCTCTTTTCTTCCTTCTCTCTTTCCATCTTTCCTTCCCTCCCTCTTTCTCTACATCTTCCCCCCTTCCTTCGCTCCTTCTTTCCTTCCTTCTTTCCCTTTTTTCTTTCCTTCTCTCCTTCCTTCTTTCTCTAACTTTCCTTCCTCCCCCTTTTTCTTTCCCTCCCTCTTTCTCTCCTTTCTTCCTTTTCTACCTCATTCCTTCCTTCCTTCTTTCTTTCCCTCCCTCTTTCTCTCCTGTCAGGGGTGATTTGAATGCAATATTCCTGCTTCTTGGCAGAATGGGGTTGGACTGGATGGCCCATGAGGTCTCTTCCAACTCTTTGATTCTATGATTCTATGCTTCTTCCTTGACAGATTAGAAGGGGGCGTGGCTTGGAGGTAACGTGAGGAGGGTAGAGGGAGGGGGGATGGGTTTAGAAGCGTGGCTTGGAGGTAACGTGAGGAGGGAGGAGGGGAGGGGGGATGGGTTTAGAAGGGGGCGTGGCTTGGGGGTAACGTGAGGAGGGAGGAGGGGAGGGGGATGGGTTTAGAAGGGGCGTGGCTTGGGGGTAACGTGAGGAGGGGAGGGGGATGGGTTTAGAAGGGGGCGTGGCTTGGAGGTAACGTGAGAAGGGGGGAGGGGAGGGGGATGGGGGCGCGCGCGCGCGTGTGTGCCGCCGGGGGGGAGAGGGGGCGCACACGCGCGCGTGTGTGCCGCGCCAGGGGAGTGAGGGGGCGCGCGGGCGCGCGTGCGTGCGTGTGCCGCACCGGAGGGGGGAGAGGGGGCGCGCGCGCGCGCGTGTGCCGCGCCGGGGGGTGTGAGGGGGCACGCGCGCGCATGTGTGCGTGTGTGCCGCGCCGGGGGGGGGAGGGGGCACGCGCGCGTGTGTGCCGCGCCAGGGGAGTGAGGGGGCGCGCGGGCGCGCGTGCGTGCGTGTGCCGCGCCGGGGGGTGAGGGGGCACGCGCGCGCATGTGTGCGTGTGTGCCGCGCCGGGGGGGGGGGGGGGGTGCGTGCGCTGTGTGCATGTGTGTGTGCCGCGCCGGAGGGGGGAGAGGGGGCGCGTGCGCGCGCGTGTGTGCCGCGCCGGGGGGGGGGGGGGGTGTGCGCGCGTGTGTGCCGCGGCGGCGGGGGGTTGGGGGTGCGCGCGCGTGTGTGTGCCGCGCGGGGGGGGGAGGGTGAGGGGCCATGTGTGTGCGCGCGCCAGGGAGTTTGCGCCAGTGCGCATGCTCAGTTGCTTTGCCGTTTATTGTGGTTGTTGTTGTGTGTTTTTGATTTCTGACTGGATTAGTTTGTACCTTGTTGGTTGCCCTTGGGGCATGGGAAGTTTGGTGGAGTTTCGTTGGGGGGTTTTAGAGTTTTGTTTCCTCATACGACGCCAGGAGGAAATTTATATATATAGATAATGTTGGTGTCTCCAAAATTATTAACTCCATTCATACATCCTTCCATTCATTCCCACACATCATATTAAATTCGTATTTGTCAAATCTGCACATTGAATTTCTTGTGACACCTGTACGCTGTGATTAAACACACCTCTTTGTTTACAACCATGGCAACACCTGTCCTTTACCTTCTTTCTTCACCAGGGAAAGGAGCAGTCTATGGAGCCACGTTTGTCATGATGAGAAGCAACTAAACATCTGGTGGATATTAAAGAATTTGGAATCCAAAAGTGCACTAAGGAAACCAGCCATTGGCACCTTCCATACAGGAAGGTGCCCATGTGCCTGAACTCTTCACCTCACTCACAGTTCAGAATAGGAAAGTGTCTATCTTGGATTTTGAAGTACCAACATGGAGAAAAAAACATATATATGTACTGAATGTGGGAAGAACTTTCGACTGCATAAACTTCTGCAGTTACATGAAAGAACTCACACTGGTGAGAAACCCTACACATGTCTGGAGTGTGGGAAGAGCTTCACGCAGCGTGGACATCTACGTAAACATCAAAGAACGCACACTGGGGAGAAACCCTATGAATGTCCGGAGTGTGGAAAGAGCTTCACTCAGAGGGAAGGCCTAAGTTCCCATCAAAGAACTCACACTGGAGAGAAACCCTATGAATGTCCGGACTGTGGAAAGAGATTCAGTCAGAGTGGAAATTTACAGACACACCAAAGGATTCACACTGGGGAGAAACCCTATATATGTCCAGAATGTGGAGACAGCTTCACCGGCATTGGAGATCTACGTAAACATAAAAGAACTCACACTGGGGAGAAACCCTATACATGCCAGGAGTGTGGAAAGAATTTTGCGCATAGTGGATCTCTGCATTCACATCAGAGAAGTCATACTGGGGAGAAACCTTATGAATGCCCCGAGTGTGGAAAGAGATTCACTCAGAGTGGAACTTTACAGAAACATCAAAGGACTCACACTGGGGAGAAACCTTATGAATGTCAGGAGGGTTGAAAAATATTCACACATAATGTAACTTTACAGAAGCATCAAAGCGTTCACATTGGGGAGAAACCCTATACATGATTGGAATGTGGAAACTAGGCATGTGCAACCCATGCTTCTAAATGGTTCTAAAACACTTACAAAACTAAAATTCTGGTGGTGAAAACTAGGGGGCGCTGGTGCTTTGCTTCCACAGTGTTGCTAAAGTTCTGGTGGTGAAAATTTCAGAACTCTAACAAAACTTTCAAAATTTCATTATTATTTCATTATTGATTTTTATGACAACCCATTAGGAACTGCCATTTATAATGAAATTTTGAAAGTTTTGTTAAGAGTTCTGAAATTTTCACCACCAGAACTTCTGCCAACCTAGCAGTTCGAAAGCATGAAAATGTGAGTAGATCGATAGGTACTGCTCCAGCGGGAAGGTAACGCCGCTCCATGCAGTCATTCCAGCCGCATGACCTTGGAGGTGTCTAAGGACAACGCCGGCTCTTTGGCTTAGATAATGAGTTATCTGAGAGTATTTGAGTTTTGAGCAAAGCTGGCTGAAGTAATAAAACCTCTGCAAGAGAGCTTAAAGCAAATTACTCCTCACATGGCTGAGATTACTGAAACAGCTGAGCAGGCTTTGTAATCTGTATTGAGTTTGGTGTTAAAACACTCTGTAAAAGACAACACGGTTGCGCCAGCAGATCAACAGAGGAATGCCAGACGATAATTGGGATGTATTGTGAATCAAATTGACGTAATATAGCAGTGCCTACAAACATAGTCAAGGCAACTGGCGAAGCCTCAAAACATAACACGTGTTTCCCAGAAAGCAACAAAATAGAAACTGCAACCTCATATTCATACTCTGGTAATGTTTTAATAGGATTTATCTATTAATACTGTCCAGGTCCTGAACCGGTGCTTGGCCGCTGTGTCGGACTGGATGAGGGTGAACAGATTGAAACTTAATCCAGACAAGACAGAGGTACTCCTGGTCAGTTGGAAGGCCGAACAGGGTATAGGGTTACAGCCTGTGTTGGACGGGGTCGCACTCCCCCTGAAGACACAGGTTCGCAGCTTGGGTGTGACTCTGGATTCCTCGCTAAGCTTGGAACCCCAGGTTTTAGCGGTCTCCAGAGGAGCATTTGCACAGCTTCGGCTTGTGCGCCAGCTGCGCCCGTATCTTGGGAAGTCGGACTTGGCCACGGTAGTCCACGCTCTTGTCACATCCCGCATAGATTACTGCAACGCGCTCTACGTGGGGTTGCCCTTGAAGACTGCCCGGAAGCTTCAAATGGTCCAGCGCTCGGCAGCCAGGTTGCTAACAGGAGCGGCACTCAGGGAGCATACCACTCCTCTGTTGTGCCAGCTCCACTGGCTGCCAATCTGCTACCGAGCACAATTCAAGGTGCTGGCTTTAGCCTATAAAGCCCTACACGGTTCCGGCCCCACTTACCTCTCCGAACGCATCTCCGCCTATGAACCAACAAGGACGTTAAGATCGTCCGGGGAGGCCCTGCTCTCGGTCCCGCCGGCATCACAGGTGCGGCTGGCGGGGACGAGAGACAGGGCCTTCTCGGTGGTGGCCCCTCGGCTATGGAATGCACTACCAATGGAGATCAGACAGGCCCCGTCGCTACTGGCGTTTAGGAGGCGGGTGAAGACGTGGCTCTTCGAACAGGCGTTCGGATAAGCGGGTAACTAACATCTGACTCAGAAGACGGCATACTGAACAAGGAATGGTAAATCGACTATGAGATTTGGATCTGATCCTAGTTGAGGCGTGATGACGTTATGTGTATTGTCTGTGAATGTCTGTCACTTGCATTGTTCAATGTTGTATTTTTATTGTAAACCGCTTAGAGTCGCCTTGGCTGATATAGGCGGTATACAAAAGAAGTAAATAAATAAATAAATAAATTAAGCATTACAAGCCATCGCCACGCACATGCATTCGCGTCTGCTGCTGCTGCTGCATGCAGGTGTGAATGTGGTAGTAGCGGCAAGGCTGAACAAGCCGCTTTGGAGGGCCTGGATTTGGCCCACTGGCTGCAGTTTGGGGATCCCTGTCCTATATTGACCCAGACCAAACAGGATTTACTCTTGGTAGGACATTATCAGACTCTACCAGTGTTGGATAAGCCAATCTATAAAGTAAATAAAAATGATGAATTTAATCCACCGAATGTCCAAGAAAGCTTATGGCCAAGCAATTATTGAACAATGTATTGTCAAAGGCTTTCATGGCCGGAATCACTGGGTGATGTAGGTTTTTTTTGGGCTATATGGCCATGTTCTAGAGGCATTCTCTCCTGACGTTTCGCCTGCATCTATGGCAAGCATCCTCAGAGAGTGAGGTCTGTTGGAACTAGGAAAAAGGGTTTATATATCTGTGGAATGACCAGGGTGGGACAAAGGACTCTTGTCTGTTGGAGCTAGGTGTGAATGTTTCAACTGACCACCTTGATTAGCATTTGATGGCCTGGCAGTGCCTTGGGCAATCTTTTGTTGAGAGGTGATTAGATGTCCCAAATTGTTTCCTCACTGTTGTTTTGCTGTTCTAATTTTAGAGTTTTTCAATACTGGTAGCCAGATTTTGTTCAAGAGGAAACCATGAAAATGAACAAAATCTGGCTACCAGTATTTAAAAACTCTAAAATTACAACAGCAAAACAACAGAGAGGAAACAATCAGGGACATCTAATCACCTCTCAACAAAAGATTGCCCCAGGCACTGCCAGGCCATCAATAATAATAATAATAATAATAATAATAATACTTTATTTATAATTATGATTTATTTGTATTGTCGAAGGCTTTCATGGCTGGAATCACTAGGTTCTTGTAGGTTTTTTCGGGCTATAGGGCCATGTTCTAGAGGCATTTCTCCTGACGTTTCGCCTTCATCTATGGCAAGCATCCTCACCCTGGTCATTCCACAGATATATAAACCCATTGTCCTAATTCCAACAGACCTCATACCTCTGAGGATGCTTGCCATAGATGCAGGCGAAACGTCAGGAGAAATGCCTCTAGAACATGGCTCTATAGCCCGAAAAAACCCACAAGAACCTAATAATAATACTTTATTTGTACCCCCCTACCATCTCCCCATGGGACTCGGTGCGGCTTACATGAGGCCGAGCCCAAACACAACAATGCAAGCAATAATAACAACAATACAAGCAAATAAAATAAAAACATAGACAATAAAATATACAACATTATCAATAAGACAATACGCAATTAAAAACAGTGGGATGGCCAAATGTAGAGATTAAAATTGGAAATAAGTGCAGTTGAAACATTCACACCTAGCTCCAGCAGACAAGAGTCCTTTGTCCCACCCTGGTCATTCCACAGATATATAAACCCATTTTCCTAGTTCCAACAGACCTCACTACCTCTGAGGATGCTTGCCATAGATGCAGGCAAAATGTCAGGAGAAAATGCCTCTAGAACATGGCCATATAGCCCGAAAAAACCTACAACAACCCAATGATTGAACACATTACAATAATTCTGTGTATCAGATAAAATTAGAGTAACGTAGAAGTAATAGAATGGATAGTACTGTAGTTTTATACTGCTATGGAAGTAATGAGAGAGTTGGGGTATAGAAGGGTATTCTGAATATAGAAGTTGTGATAAGAGAATTGTATTATGTTTTAATAAAACAAAAATAAACATTTCCAAGGGCTAAAAAAGGGAAAGAAAGAGGAGGATCTCAGATACTAGTAAATGTGGAGAAAAGAGCAAACAAGAAAGCTCAGGATTTTTTTAACTTACAGGGAAATACCCTGCAAAAGAGGAACATGATAAATGTTGTGTAAAATGATACAGAGAAAGGACACAGGCATCTTCCTCCTGTTTTCATTTTTAATGCTTATTTTTGCTGGGATTTATTTTCCGACTTGGATTTTCCTACCTAAGGAAGTTTGAGCCTGTGTGATGTCCAGAAGATTGTAAATAAAATGTTGTGATACCTTACCATTTTGTTGTTTTGGATTTCATATCTTTACTAGCACATGAATGGATGGGGAAAATGGGCGTGGGACTTTTAAACTCCTCAAAGTTGTCTCCTCACTAGTTCCTTCCCCTGCTCTGCTATTTTACCAAAATAGACATTGTTGTAGTAGAGCCTGTAAGTAACATTGCAAGCAGTATTATGGGTGCCAGAAGGGGGGAAAGGGTTACTCGCGAGCAGGAGTCAGATGAGGAACACCAAAGGAAAAGGATCTGGGATGTACTTATGGCACCTACCGATGAAGACTCATTTGAGGGGTTCTCTGGAGATGAAGGGTCAATGAGTGAGGGAGATGAAGGAGATACAATGGATGGGAATAGGGGAACAAAGGGGGTTACTTGAGAGCAAGAATCGGATGAGGAGCGACAACGGAAGAGGATCCGGGATATACTTACTGCTCCCACAGATGAAGAATCATTTATGGGTTTCTCTGGGAGTGATGGGTCAGGGAGTGATGAAGATGGGGATGACTCATTGGATTAGACTAAGGTAAAAGAGGTACAAGTTGTATGTGTGGAGCTGACGTCTAGTGATACATTTGTAGGGTTCTTGTAACGAGGATTGGCAATCGGGGAATACATTTTGAGTCTTGGGGGAATCTAAGTCTTGACAGAAGATGGAGAAGTTGGAGAGATGGGAGTAGGAATTCACATGTGGAATCAAAAACAGCTGCAAGGGATAACAACGGGGTGGAGGTCAACTCATCTGATGATGTATGAGATAAAAGTAGGCTCTGAAATGGGGAATCTTTGCAGAAGGCAAGGTGTTGGTTTATGTTCGTGCATTGGGTACTTGTCACTGCCTGTTTTGTGTTGGCATTGGGTCCTGGATCTACAAGTTACTACTTCTGTTTGTGGTTGCTTTTGACTCGGCTTGGATTCTCATGAGTGTGGATTTCCCCTTTCCTTGATTTCGGACCGGCTTGACTACGATGCTGCCTACGTGGACTTTGGATTCGGCTTGCTACAACCTCGGACTTCACTTGACTATGTGTCCTTCCCTACGGCTGCTTTGTTTTGTTAACTGTTTACACGCTGTGCTATCTTGTGTGACTTTCGGAGTGCTTTGTTTTAATCCTGTTCTTTTCTCCAGATAATCTGGGTTATTGCTTTAGTTACATTTTTTCAACCAGGACGGGTTTTCACCTTTGAGTTTTGGCCAGAGACACTGAGTTAAGTGTCTCGGAGTCCTTTTTCTTTAATAAACTCTATTTTGGAACTAAACCTGAGTCTGGCCCTTTAAGGCGTCTGTGTTCCGACATCTCATGCATTTTTAAGGGTGAGAACCTTAACAAAATAAAGTGTCTAGTGTAATAACCAGACCTCATATAGTACATAGAGGTGTTGGCGGTAAACTGGAATGTGTCCAGAGGAGGGTGACTCAAAGGATCAAAGGATCAAGGAGAACAAGCCCTATGAGGAGCGGCTGAAAGAGCTGGGCATGTTTAGCCTGAAGAAAAGAAGGATGAGAGGAGACATAATGATGGCCAGGGATCAAGCGGTGAGGTTGGGGAGGTTCTAGAGTGGAGGGAGCAGGCTTCCTTTCTGCTGACCTGGAGACTAGGACACAATGGTACTACAGGAAAGGAGATTCCACCTGAACATTAGGAAAAACTTCCTGAGAGAGAAAGCTGTTCAGCAGTGGAACTCTCTGCCCCAGAGTGTGGTGGAGGCTCCTTCTTTGGAGGCTTTTAAGCAGAGGCTGGATGGCCATCTGTCAGGAGTGCTTTGAATGTGATTTTTCCTGCTTCATGGCGGAATGGGGTTGGGCTGGATGGCCCAGGAGGTCTCTTCCAACTCTTTGATTCTATAATATATGATGTTGCAAATGAAAAGAGAGAAAACATTTCAAATCAAGGATAAAAAGAAT